TATAAATTAATTTTTCAGTTGTATTATTTATTTTCTTTTATTTTAATGTTTTTAATAATATTATAATAATTTTTTGTTTTTAATTTTTTAATTTCGTCACATATAAATAAAATTTGTTATAAAAATTAACTTTTTAATTATTTTTTTTGAATTAATATTTTTAATTAATTTATCTTATACAAATTTTTAATTTAAAATTTATATTATTTTAAATTTAATTTTTAAAATTTATTTATTCACATAATTTAATATACTAAAATTCTTCAATTTTTATGGGGAGGATAGGAAGTCTCCGCTAAAATTCCACAAGGATCCGTGAGAGCTTTAGAACGCGCGTAGTTTCGAAGCAGAAGAGTATTTAATTTATCAGAACACTCGCATAATTCGTTAAAAAATATGACGTAAATCCAAATTCATGAGAATATAAACGGAATGAAAAGGTTTGATCAGATGATGCGGCGGCACAGGGTAATCCCATCACCTACAGGAAGCTGGCAGATCTGGATCCTAGAATCTTGAGCCAGATACTTGTTGAGCTCTTTCACATGAGGGAGTAAACGCTTAACGTAATCCTTCAGAGGCGCATCTGGTGGAGCCACCACAGATCCATTCCATAGGGTGTTGTCGTACCCGATCAGACCTCCAATCTTCACAAGGTCAGTCACCCTCTTGTGATAATTCAAGTAATTATCTTTGTCGGCGTCCACAAAAATGAAATCGAACCTTCCCTTGTTATTTTCCTGCAATTAAATCACAACCTCACTTTAGCATTTTTTTTTTCCACAAACACTTTAGCAAAAGTTAAGACAACGTTTTCATCTATATGTAATTTATATGCAAACGACAAATATGTACAACATTTATGACAAATTCCTTATATTATGTATAGTCAATGTATAATTCTAGTTTCTCAATATTATTATTTCGTAATTATTATGATCAAGGTTTTCACTCTTTTTTTATTTATTTGTTACAATCAAATCTTCATTATAGCATTTTCTTTGATTTAAAATTATAAATTATTATTATTTTCTCCAATACTTTTGTAAAATAAATATATGAAACCATTTAATCCTTTTTTTTCTTGAAACCCACCATTTAAAATATTATATTTCACTCAAAATTAGAAAAAAAAAATCTCATTCTTCTCCCATTTGAACAATTTAACCCACTGAATAAAAAATGTAACTGAACCAATATTTTAAAGCACGGATAAAAATTAAGATGATAATAAATATTTAACGATGCACGCACATCTTTAAGCAACTCATCAAGAAGAGGAAGAGCAGGTCCTTCTCTGAAGTCAATCTTGTGTGCCACTCCAGCTTTTTGAATTATGGGCAACCCTAGCTCATAATATTCGCGGTTCACGTCCAAAGCCAAGATCTAATTATAAAACCAAGTAAATTAATAAGCTATAAATTAAATTCATGACTTATATAATGATGTATATATATAGTTCATGACTCTTAAGTCTCAAGTATATATGGAGCATGGACCTTTCCATCAGGGGGAAGAGCCAGGGCAGTGGAGAGCAAAGAGTAACCAGTGTATACACCAATTTCCATTGTGTTCTTGGCATTCATGAGCTTAAGAAGCATGCTCAGAAATTGTCCTTCGTCAGGTGGTGTAGCCATGAGGTTCCTGTTGTACGACATAGTGTAAATTAATTTCAGAAGTTTTCCCAAAACACAAAGTACGTAATAGCATATATATTCTCTTTGAATAAAAAAAGAGAGAGGATATATTCTGGTTGAGTAAAAAAAGAGAGCATATATTCTGGTCCACCTGCAACTGAAAGTTGTGTGAATTCATTATATGATTTTTTTTGTTTTTTTTTTACATTTTTTATATGATTTTTAAAATAATAATTATTATTAAAAGTCAATAAAAACATATGATATGCAACAGTTATTAAATTATAGTGTCAAAGACTTGTACACTATTAGTACATGTATTATTAACCCTTTATAAATATTATTATTATAAGTGTTATATATAATGAAAATAACTATAATCTTACCAAGGGTGTTTTTCTGTCATCTCTCTGAGCTCCTTCAAGCTTTGGTGCTCTCTTGGATGTACACTAGTTTCAAGTATATACTGCATATATAGTGCATGACTATCAAATGTTAGATTAAATTACACAAGTAAATAAAGAGTTGTGGAATTAACAAACCTGGTAGAGTGCATCGCTCTGAAGGAGACTCTTGTGACCGAGATCATTGTGGCCAGCAAGTTGAGTTTGCTGTTCCTCTTCCTTCCTGACAGCCATATATCTCTGTTAGGTATGACTTAGTTAATTTTAAGATTTTGATGAGATTTTTCGATGAGAAAGAGGCAACAAAACACAGTCCAATTTATAAAGTGAGTGGGTTGGTGTTGAAGGTAACTCCTTTGATTTTTTTATGACTAAATATGAAATCATTCAAACTAAAGGTGCTGACAGCTCAACAATTTTCTCCCAACTACCTCAACTGGAAGCTTCCTTTCCGCGATATAATCACCAAATATATATTCCCTCCCCTTGCTTTTGTCATCTGTTCCATAAGCCATATTGTTTGACATGATTTTGGAAGTATGTGTACCGTTCACCTCGGTATCGAGGTCCATCTTGATACCGAGGTCCACCTCGGCCCAAGACCAATATCTATCGACATTGGTACGGAAGGGTGTTTAAATTGCTAAATTAAACTAAACTAGAAGAAAACTAAACTAAACTATAATAAATAGTTTACCAAATAAAATTGAACAAGAATAAATATTAACTAAATTGAACTAAACTATTATCTAATTTAGTGCACTATAATTTTAAGAGTTTGAACTAAACTATAATATCAATTAAATTAAACTATTATTAACTATAAACTAATATAAAATTTAATTCCAATTGCAAATACTTCCTTCATACATATATTACTAGTGACATGATAAGAATCAGAAATATTTTAATATTTAAAAATAAATATTTTTTTCATAAGTTGAAAAGCTTAATATTTATTTTAAAAAATATTTTAATAAATATTTATTTTTTAAATATTAAAATATTTTAATATAAAAGAAACTTAAAATTAATGTTATTTATTTTTTTTAATAAAAATAAATAGCATTAATTTTAGAAATTTAGACAAAGTGTTGGAGATATTACATTCTAGCATGCTACCATAAACACAACAAGCGCAAGATGTTATTCGTGCCATACCTATAGGATTGAAAGTGACTTTTTTGTTCTACCAATTTTTTTGTATAAAAAAAATGAGTGAGATTGAAAGTGATCATTTAAATTTGACTTAAATATATTTTAGTCCTTCAAATTGAATTAAAATAAATTAGTTTTTAATATCTTGAATTTAAATTAATCGTTTTAATCTCTATAATTTTAAAAAAAAAAATTGTTTTACTTTTTATATTCAAATTTTTTTATAAATCTAATAAATATTGTCAAATAATTTACTTACTAGACTTTTTGTTAGCAAAAATATTACATTAAACTTAATAAATGCTACATAACTGTTTCAATATGTTATTTTTAAATATATTGATAGTGACTTGAAGAATTAAAATAAGATTTTTAAAAATTACAGGAATTAAAAATTACAATTTTAAACTTGAGAGACTAAAAACAAATTTACCTTAAATTTGAAGTATTAAAAATAATTTTTAACCATTTAAATTGTTATTAAACACATATGAGTATCATATAAGAGTATGAACAAAAAATAAATGATTTGAGTCTTTTTTGAAATATAAAAAATTGTTAGAAAACATGTGTACGAAGAGAAATGATACTCATATAAGTAGAGTTGTCAAAATGGGTTTGGCCCGGTGAGCCAATCCAGCTCACCACGGGTTCGAGTCAGGTTGGGTTAAAAAAAATTTAAAAATTTCAATGCGGGTCAAATTTGAACCCGACTCACTAACAACCCGGCTCACCCGGGTTGAACCCGTGGTGAGTGTAACACCCCAGTTTTTATTTCACTTTTTATTTATTTATTTTAATTGAGGGTATTTTGGTAATTTTATAAAGGTGATAGAGGTGATTTAGTAGCTTGGAACGGGCTGTTCCGAAATTGGAACGGGCCGTTCCAAACTACCAAATTGTGTGTGAGTTAATAGCCCAGAACGGACCGTTCTCAAAATGGAACGGGCCGTTCCAGACTATTAAATATGCCATTAACCCTAATTGGGAACGGGCTTGGAACGGGGCGTTCTTAAAATTATGGCCGTTGGGGGTAATTAATGCACACCAGAACGGGCCGTTCTAGTTTTGGAACGGGCCGTTCTAAATGTGATTTTTAGCCACGTTTTAAGGGCCCGGAACGGGCCGCGATTGCATGGTCCTCCTAAAATCATCATTTCAGACAGAGATCCCATATTTTTAAGTCAGTTTTGGCGTGAGATTTTTAAAGCTCAAGGAACAACACTTAAATACAGCTCTTCTTACCACCCACAAACGGACGGACAAACGGAGGTTTTGAACCGCACCCTGGAATGTTTCCTACGTTGTTTCGTGAGCGACACCCCTCGTTCGTGGTTTCAGTTTCTTCACATTGCGGAGTTCTGGTACAACACCAGCAAGCATTCCAGCTTAGCCACATCTCCTTTTCACGTTCTCTATGGTCGCCCGCCGCCTACTACCATTGATTTGCTTCCCGACTTTGCCCCCAAAGTTTCCTCATACACCGTGATTTGGGTAGTATGCGATCGTCTGAGCAAGTATAGTCATTTTGTGGCCCTTCCCACACACTTCACTGCACAACAACTCGGCCAACGTTTTATGCAGGAGATCTTTCGATTGCATGGTCCTCCTAAAATCATCATTTCAGACAGAGATACCATATTTTTAAGTCAGTTTTGGTGTGAGATTTTTAAAGCTCAAGGAACAAAACTTAAATACAGCTCTTCTTACCACCCACAACCGGACGGACAAACGGAGGTTTTGAACCGCACCCTAGAATGTTTCCTACGTTGTTTCGTGAGCGACACCCCTCGTTTGTGGTTTTGGTTTCTTCACATTGCGGAGTTCTGGTACAACACCAGCAAGCATTCTAGCTTAACCACATCTCCTTTTCACGTTCTCTATGGTCGCCCGCCGCCTACTACCATTGATTTGTTTCCCGACTTTGCCCCTAAAGTTTCCTCAGTGTCAACCATCCTGCAAGAGCACAAAGCCATTTTATCAGTTGTGAAGTACCATCTTCACCGAGCACGACAAAGAATGAAAATAGAGGCAGACAAGCATCGTATAGACGCACACTTTGCTGTCGGCGACTGGGTTTGGGTGCGCCTTCAACCTTATCGTCAAACGACTGTTCATCGTCGCTCTAGCCAGAAATTGTCTAAGCGATTTTATGGTCTGTTCAAGATTCGTCAACGTATCGGCATGGTTGTTTACGCCTTGGAGTTACCAGAGAGTTCTCGCATCCATCCCGTTTTCCACGTGTCTAAGCTACGTCCCTTTGTCGGCGAAGACCCACTTTCACAGTTCCGGCCACCCCGTCTTCTTTACTTGACTCGATCCACGAACCGCTTCACTCATGCTCCGATGCAGGTGGAACAACACTTGAACCCAATCCTTTGTCTATGACACCGACACAACCACACGAAACGACCACCATGCCTTATCAACCTTCAAAGGCACATGCGCACTCACCTACTTCACGGAATCCCGAGACACG